GATGCCCCCCAGTTGGATAAACAGATGTTTCTTAGGAAATGCTGTTGAAGATCGAGATCCTAGGACTGTGTTGTTGTTGTTGTTGTTGTGTCCCGTAGAGTCGGACCCGACCCATAGCTGACCCTCCAGCGGGTTTTCAGAGGCAGCTAATCGCCTGGGAGGAGCTCTCCCATGTGCTACAAGAACCTGAAGTGTCAGATAGATCTGAGCAGCTCGCCCTCACTCTCAGGACGGCGGGCCTCGTTGATTTGCCATGTTCTCAGTCGGTGACTGCCAACCTGCTCATGCTTGGTCATTCTCTCCCATTTCATCTCTTAGCTCTCCCTGCGGCGCCAGCAAGTGAGTGAGCGGCTGAACGAGTGGGCCGTCTTCAGTGAGAAGAACAAAGAGCTCTGTGAGTGGCTCACCCAGATGGAAAGCAAGGTGTCTCAAAATGGAGAAATCCTCATTGAAGAAATGATAGAGAAGCTCAAAAAGGTGAGAGGTTCCTGAGGCTTCAGTCCACAGGGTGCGTAGGCATATTTAATAGTGTCTGCTAACACCACAATGCAAAACATAGACTCTTCTTCAAACTGCTTGACTAGCTACCTTGTACCCTCACTTGTCCATAGGGTGTCTATCAGTCTGAACCAGCTAGACAGCATTTCACAACATATAAGTATTCCATCCTGACTGGGCAAGCACACTGAAAATGACGCATAATACTGCCAATAGTCTTTGCACATGAACTGATACTCACATGGGGTTCCTCGTACCTAAGCTGATTCCAAGTGGTAGAAAACATTCACGTGTTTCCAGCAGAGCCAAGCTGAATGCATTAAGAATGTGCTTTCTGACCTCCTGTGATTGCTCTTTGTTGCATAGGATTATCAAGAGGAGATTGCTGTTGCCCAAGAGAACAAAATTCAGCTGCAGCAAATGGGAGAGAGACTTGCTAAAGCCAGCAACGAAAGCAAAGCATCTGAGATTGAGTACAAGCTTGGGAAGGTCAACGATCGGTGGCAGCATCTCCTGGACCTTATCGCCGCCAGGTAAAAGGCCCTATTCTGCAGGACACGGGTGTGAGGCATATGGTGCATTCAGCGTCTTTCACCGTCAGCCATGGGTGACTCAACACAATGCAGTTGGTTTCTCTCTTCCTGTGTTATAACATCAGGCCAGTCCATTCTTTTATCCTAAATGGCACTATCATCAACTTTAATATTCTCCTTCTTAAATCCTGAATAGTATGGTCCTTGTGTTTAGCTGAGAGTCGTATCCAAGTCAGATTTGTTCCCAAGAGCAAATTATCCCTTTACTGATTTTTCCCCACTCTGTTTTGGGTATTTAGCATCCAATGGGGAGGAAAATGAAATGGTTGAGCAATCTCTTGACAGTGTTTTGTCTACAGCAGCAGGAAATATTTTATTTATTATTATAGTCTGTGGGACTAGAAATTATTCATGTTGTTGTTTTTACTAGTAAACTGCTCCATTACTATAGTTATGTGATAAGGGTTTTTTTGTGTTGTTTTTTTTTTTAATTGGGAAAAACATATCGGGGGTACAAGGAGGTGAGGATTGGGGGCAGAAGGGTGAGGATGGGCCAGGATGCAGTTGCAAAGCTGCACAGTTTGGTCGGTGGGGGAAGCAGGTGAAGGAAATGATGAGGCTCCAGTGGGGACCAGATGCTGCAGAGGAATGACAAGCATTTTCCAATAGTAATTAAACCAACTGTCTTATTTATTTGGGAATTGAATGCTGACTCTCTGGCTTCTTCATGCTGAACAGGGACGTAGATGTAAAGGGGGGAAGGGAGGACGCTTTATCACCTTACTGGTGGTCTTGGGTTACAGCTGCTTGCCTTCTTGCTCTGTTAGAAGATATTTTCCTGTCATTTGCTCCCCTCTGGACTGCAAAGTGTTTTCCCAGGTGGGTCCAGTGGGGATGGCTGGTTGAACCCAGAAGCTTCATCCTCCTTTGCTTCCTTAGCTGTCAGTTGTATTTCCTTTTTGTCACTGGCACTGGGTTCAGGGTCAGATCTAGAGTAAAGCTCACTGTTAAGGTTACTATGTGACAAGTTTTAATGATAAAGTTAAGTGCCAGTCAAGTACCTTAGAGGCAGATGGGTAGAATAAACAAAAAAAAATATGTGAATTAAGAAGAAAAAAAATTGGTGAGAGTCTCTGTTAGCCATGTGTAGATGCTAATAGATGCTTTATTTTTCCATGGACTTTGCTTTATGTGAAAAAGTTCTGGTGGCATAGTGGTTAATTAATTTGGATGTCAACCTAAAGGTTGACTCTTCTAATCCACTGTTCACTCTTCAGGAGTAAGAAGAGTCAACATCCTTCAAGATTTCACCTTTTAAAACTCCCTGAGGCAGTTCTGCGGCTGTCCTGTGGGAACCTTATGAATTAACATCAGTTTAAAGACAATGGGCTTTTGTGTTCTGCTCTGTTTGCTGGCTCACCTCATGTTAGAATGTGTTTATCCTGAAGGCAGGAATTTTTGTGTCATTCACTGTATGCAATACAAATGCAGTAAGGATTTGAATGAATGAGTGGGTGCATATTGAACAGTTCTTTCCTGCAGTTAGGAGAGTTGGGTGTTGTGAATGTTCTGACTGTAGCCTGGGTGAAGCGGTCTCACAGTGTGAGCACACACACCCCACCTCTGGCTTCCTGACCTTAATTGTTTCCCCGTAAAGGTGGCCATGGAATAGTGCCTTTTGAATCCTGTGTGCCCGCTCCTGCTGGCGATAGACGTGACAATCTTGATGCTGCTTTTCGAAAGATTGTATTTTCTCCTCGAAGAAAGTTACCAGAGAAAGCCTTGTTTAGGCAGACTGTGAGATTATTACTTCTTTTACTAACAGACCCGGGCTCATTGTCATCAAGTCAAAGCTGACCTGATAGGGCTGACCCTCCAGTGGGCTTTGGAGGCTCTAAGTCCCCAGGAAGAGATTGCATGTCTGTCTCCCACGGAGCATCTGATGGACTCGAACTGCCAGCGAGCTTCTGCCTTCAGCTTAGCATGCAATGCCCTACTCACTACCACAAATGGAAACAGAATAACGATTCATAATCAGCTTTTACGGTGATTAACAAGAACACTTCCCGATGTCTAAGGCTTGGCATTCAAAAATGTCTTTTCTAGCCAATGATTAACTGTTTATTTTGTGCTGAGGTATTTCTTTTTTTGTGTTGAGGGGAGAGGATTAGGGTGTAATATAAGCCCCACCCTTCTACAAGTTTCTTTAAGGTCTTGGGACCCCAGTGCTAGTTCTCTCCTTGTAGGACACCTGCCTTCGGCTGAGAATCTACAACACTCACCGGTCTCTGCAAAACACCCCTATAACCATGTGAGACATTCCGCTGACAGGTCTGAGACTCTGGGAGACCTTCCAGTGAACCACCGAACCCAAGGGACATAGAGGAGCTGGGGAAGTGGACAAGGGATTAACTGTTGATGTCAGAAGTCACGGAGTTATACAACAAATTAAGCATTCAGGACAATGTTGACATGACAATTCTAATAACTAGTCTGCTACTAATCTTAGCAGAACAAATTATGACTACAACTTATTAATCATTTAGTTTGTGCCGGTAACAACCAGACTTCACATGCACTTTCTTAGGTGTTGTTCACAGGACCATTTGCAGTGGGTATTATTTTTTGTATACCCATTTACAGACAAGGAGGCTGAGACCGGCACTTGTCCCTGGTCTGTGCGTGCTGAAGTTATAACCCACACTGGCCAGCTCCATAGTCCTTTCTCCTGACCACTGCACACTCCTGCCTGCCAGACTTACTCCTTTCCTATTCCCTGCTGGAGAGAATTCAATTAAAAAGAAGCTAGGTTTTATTATTCATTTGGACAATTTAATTTCCCAGTCCTTTGTTTATGAAATACTTACAATATGACAGCAACTGTGAGAGACTTGGGAGATAAAATTGCAGAGGTGTTTGCCTTCGCGGAGTTCATAGTGAGAAGTGGAGAGATATAAGAAACCAAGAACAGGAATAAGATAAATGTTCTGATAAAGGCACAAAGCAATGGAAACATATGTTTCAGCTTAAATGACTCTAAATATTTAGACATGTATAGCATTCAGAATCCCAGTGTTATACTTAGCCTCACTTCTGAGTCATGAAAATGATAATAAAACCTTATTTCAGGAGGAAGGATGGGCGCTCCTTGTGCTATAAAAAGAAATCCCCTTCTTTAGGAAACCAGGCACTTGCCAAAGACGCCTGATTTTTTTTTTCATCAGATTATATCTCAGGAATTGAATTACATTTCCATGTAATCCAGTTTAACTAGTTGATGTTCTCTCCTAATGGATAGTAACTCGGGGCCGTGGACGATGGAGATACATTATGTCAACAATGTTTTAAACTCAGTTTAGTCTAAGCTGCCAATGAGTATGCCCAGCAATTAGTCAGCTCTCTCCTCAATCGTGGTTTTGTTGGATTTCCCACCCCCCCAGTCATGTTTTATTGACCATATTTTTCATCCAACTGGTCAGGTGAAAATACATTAACAAACATGATCCAATTAATATGTAAAAGGGAGCTATTTACACTCCGACATGTATGTTTCTCCTTGTATAGAAGAGCATCTTGCTGGTGTTAGGATGTGTAAGTTGATTCTGACGTGTAGAAATTCTGTATGATGGTAGATCAGCCCCAAAGGTTTTCTTGCCTGTAATCTTTATGTAAGTAGACAGTCAAGTACTTTTCCCCTCAAGTAACCGGCGTGATTTGAAATACTGACTTGTTAGCAACCAGTCACATGCTTAGCTGTTGTACCACAAGTGCTCTTCAGACTCTTCATGTTGTTTTGTGCTGTATAGTCGACCATCATTCGTATGAACACTATGAACAGTGCTTCTGAACTTGGCCCTATCCTGAGCCAACCTCAGCATCTCAGACCCGTTGGCACAACCACTGTATCAATCCGTCTCATCCAGAGTCTTCCTCTCCTGTGCTGACCGTACACTCTTCCAACTCTGATGTCCTTCTCCAAAGACTGGTCCTTCCTGGCAACGTGGCCAAAGAATATGAGATGGAGTTTCAAAATCCTTGCCACCAAGGAGAAACCAATTTCACCCTCTCCAGGATGATGTTGTTGTTGTTGTTATGTGCCGTCGAGTCACTTGCGACTCATAGCGACCCTATGTACAACAGCCCTAAACTCTGCTCTGTCCTGTGCCAACTGCACCGTCTCTGACACTCCCATCCCGATTACCCCAGTCACTGAATCAGTCCACCTCATAGAGGGC